AATTCAAGCTTCCAACTGAGGCTTTTGAAAAGCTAAAACAACACTAACTCCCAGTAGATGGCCACTTGAGGCAGAAATAGATACTACATTGTAAGGATTCTGACATTCTGTGCGTCTGTCCCGTTTTCCTTGTTACGCTAGTTCAAGAGCTTTTCTTCAATCCTCCAATGCATGGGAAGAATTCAGCGGCAATGTTTTACACAAAACAGTGCACTGTGTGCTGATTGAAGACAATCTAATTGAAGTAATATTAGCAATGTAGTATTGATGTTTGTAAAAGAAAAGAAGAAGCTGACTATTGAAGCTGGATATATAACAAACAATGTTTTTGTTAAGTTACTGTTCATAAAGCATAGTTGTCAAGTACCTGGTGAATTGTGGTAATTCTTGAACATGGAAAGCAAAAGGGATGATCTTTTGGCTTTGAAACAAGGCTCAGGAATGATGGGACAGCATCCAGCAATAAAGAGATGTATTCTAATTAGAAACGTGGAAGCCCAGTGCACACATACTTATATAAGAAAAGGGAAAAGAAGAAAAAGAGAGGAAGAGGGAAAAGGGTTTTCTTTTGTTCATATTTTTAGGAAAAGTGAAAACCATAATAAAAACTATTCTAGCTCTTTATCTTTATGTGACCTAACTCATAATTCCTATACACAAAACTTGTATCTAATTATTTGTTTTATTTGCTAAATTAATATCTGGTTATTCTCCAGATGGGTGCATCACTGGGAGCCTTGAAAGACCAGGTTTGGGACAAATCATCAAGGGGAAAAATCTATCTGTATAGTCAGTCAGAGTAGATCATGGCTTGATGGCCCATAATCAATCAGTCAATATTGTCTAGACTCTAGGTAATTAAGAGAGCTCCCTTCATTTTATCCCAAGTAAGTAGTTTGCTCCTACAAAATGCCAAAGAAAATGGAGGTCTTGACTTGCCTCAGATTGTATTATGAAGCCTGTTATTTGGTATGGTTGAAAGATTGGATAACTTTGAAAAACTCAAGGTTTTTAGATGTTGAAGTTTTTGATTTGAGATTTAGGTGACATGCTTATTTATGGTATAAGGTTTTAAAAAATCATTCTATTAGAAAATTGATTGGGCATGTATAATGGAAGTACAAAAGAAGATTGGCTGATAAGACACCTTTATGGTTATCATTACATAAAACATTATATAGAAAGGAGATTTACTGGAACTTAATGACGTATAATGACTGGTTGATATTTGAAGAAGAGGGACTCAAGATAAACACAAGAAAATTAGTAAGTGTGGGATTTAATTGTGGTTGGTTTAATTATTATAGAATTTTTAAAATATTTAAATTTGATTTAAAAAGTTTTGTTTTTGAAGGAGATAAATCTGAATTGGACTTGAACTCATGTTCTGGAGATGACCACTTGATCACTAAAGTTTATAAAATGTTACTTAAGATGAATCTGGAAAATGAATATGTTAAAGATTGTATGGTAAAATGGATGAAAAACTTTATTATAATATATCCTTAGTTCAGTGGGAGAATATAGGGACCAATGGTTTAAAATTTACTTTGAATTACTGTTTGAAAGAATTTTTTTATAAAATGATGTATTGATGATATTTGACTCCAGACAAACTGGAAAAATGTATAGAGAACTTCTAATAAAGTGTTGAAACTGTAACCAAATTCTAGGTACATTTTATCACATAAGGTGATCTTGTAAATATGCTAAATCATATTGGATAATCATGATAATGATAATGAAAGAAAATACTCAAAATACAAATACTAATGAAACCTAAAGCATTTCTTCTAGGTGTTATGGACAAATTGATAGAAAAACTGTTTGGGACCTTATTTCTTTACATGGTAACTGCTGTAAGGATTGTCTATATCAAGTATTGGAAAGAAAAAGGGACACTGACTTTTGGATTTTAAAACTGACTGAATTGACAAAGATAGCAAAATTAACCACAGTCATTAAAGACAATGGACTAGACAATTTTATAAGAGATTGGAAGCCATTTGTGGACTTTCTGTTAACAGAGCGCTTTGAAGACTAGTTTTGTTCTAGGGGTTATTTGTTAACTGATTTTTTTTAAGTGAATAGTGGTGAGTTGACTTGTTGGATAGATAATACATCGGTGACATCTTTTTATGTAACATAATATTTTTGGTAAATAGAGATGGGAACATTTGTAAGTATTTGTAGATCTTTCATGCAAGCGGGAGAACATATCAGTTACTAGAGATATGTTTTTCAACACTCAACGAGGGTGGACATTTTATGTTTAATGTTTATGTTTAATATTAGTTCTGTGCATACATTTTTATTACTTTTTGTTGTTGTTTGGTTGCTATGTTTGTAGTTGATTTTTTTCCTTTCTATTTTGTATTTTATCTTTGGAGATAAATAATAAAAAAATATTTTTTAAAAAAACAGTACATAGTTTGGGATGAAGGAGATCAAAGTCACCTGAGAAATTTCCATGGCTGTGAGTGGACTTGAACCTGACTCTCCTCACTCTTAATCCAACATCTTAACCATAGTGAACAGTATATACAAGCTATACAGCAGCCACACATGCCTACATCAGCTAGTGTAGTCTATTTGCATACTCAAAAGATGCCATCTGGTGGGCATGAAGCACCACAAACTAGCTGCCCTTACAATGAAGCCCAAACTGTGAGTTGTGTTCCAGTGAAAACAGAGCGAATAGGGCTTATCAATGGGAAATAATCTTGGTGGCTATAGACTGTCTCCAGAATCAAAGGCAGCATGTCTTTAATAACAGTTGCTATGGAGCGATAGAAGAAGAGAGTTATTACCCTCATATCTGTTTTGTGAGTTTCCCTGATGCATCTGCTCGCCTGCTGTAGGGTAGAGCAACTGAATTACAACAGTCTTGGTCTGATCCAGTGATGAATCTAACACATTTGGATTCTACATGAACACACACCTCTTGGCAAAGTCCATGCTTTGGGGAGCATATAATGTTGGTTTTTTTCAATTATCCAAGCTTTTCCAGCTGTATGTTCCAATTAAATCAATAAAAGATCATCCATCAGCCCATTGTAACACCCTTTATTTTGTATGCTATGGAAGGTTGGGATATATATTTTCCCAAGATTAAGTTCTGTTTCTGTTGCCTTCACTGGAACTTGTCACAGAAGAAACAGAAGGAAAGATAGTCAATGACTCTTCTCCTTTCAGAAGAATAGAATGGAGGTGAAGAAAGATGGCATAATCTATATTTCATTAAAACACCAAGTCAAAGGATGCTTCACAATGGGTTCATAGAGACACCAATCCAAAAATAAGGCTATTCCCTTTACTTTTTTTTACCTATTATATATGCAATTTTTATTTAATCTTAATTTTTATGTTATATTTTATACAGTATTTTGAGGTAAGAAAGAAAATAGAAAATGTCATATAAAAACATGGAAGAGTAATAAAGATGTTACTGTATTGCTTTGACTTTTCATAACCTTCTGTGAATGAGAAAAGGCAATTACTTAGTAAGAAACTCTTTTGGAAGCACCTTGAACTCCTCAAAAATATATTTGCTTTCCATACAAGGTATATCAGGCTATAATATTCAGCATTTAAAACCCCATCTCAAACCCAATTTCAGAGCTGGGAATGGAATTCCAGATATGCAAAGTATCACAGAATCTTTTGATTTATGCTTTGCAACAATGTATGTAAATAAGGTATTAATATTTATAGCTTTAGTTGTCTAACTAACAAACTGTAGTTTGATTCATAGCTGTGATTCTCCAGACTTGATAGTTCCAATGAAAAATATTTTGTGAGATTTGATCTGAAATTACACTCAAGTACAGATTATCACAGTAGTTCTTAAACATTTCGGTCCTGGGACCAGGGACCCCAAAGAGCTTTGGTTTATGTGGGTTTTATCTACCAATATTTGCTACATTACAAATTAAGCCTGATACATTTTAAAATATTTATTCATTTGATTTAGCAGACCTCCTGAAAGAGACCACATTTTGAGAATCACTGCTTTATGGGAAGTAGGATGTGTATGAAAAAAACCAAAACAATTGTTTTCATCTGCACTCATAAACCACCCACAATTGGGCAGAGAGCACAAAAATGTATGCTGTTCTTCTTCATGAGCTTTTCTTGAGATTAAACATCCCAGTTTCTGCTTTCCTTATGCACCTCCCCTTTTCCATACTGAAAAAAAAGCCACCACTTCTGCATATTGTCCAGTTTCCCTGGTCCCAAAAAAGTTAGCTAGGTCCTTTGCCCAACATCTCCAGTTTACCCTGATTTTGTTCTATGCATCTACTTTGTGCCTATGTGCCTATGTGACTGAGTCATGAAAAGTCATATTTTCCTTGATGTGTGACTTCAGTGTCCTTTTCCCATCCAGCTCCATCAGGAAAACACTTAGAAAGCCTGCTTTAATTGAATCCATGAAGTAACTTCTGAGATTAGTGGAAGGAAGGAAGGAAGGAAGGAAGGAAGGAAGGAAGGAAGGAAGGAAGGAAGGAAGGGAGGGAGGGAGGGAGGGAGGGAGGGAGGAAGGAAGGANAGGAAGTTTTAGTTTTACAGTATAAGTAGTTTAAGGATTAAAATGTTGTACTCAGGTACACTTTTTCTATTTGTACTATCCCAATTTCCCTGCAAAAAAGGCCAGTTTCTTCTAGCAAGATTGTGGCTTATAGGTCCAACACCAAGGTACATTGCACGAGTTGTGATGGGGAAATGATCACATCTCATTGATCAAGAGCCTTAATTGTTAAAATACATGCTACATGCTTCATTCTCCATTAGCCACTTTATACAAGGTAAAAAAAAATAAATCCCAGCTTCCCAGTGCAATATTCTCTCTCGCTTAGCCTACTGAACAGAGGACATTATTGATTATTGCTCTTTCACTTGAAATGCTCTGCCGAGAAATGCATTAGCCCTGTTTCCGAAATGACAGCTCTTTTCTTCTGAGAAAGGAAGGATCAAATAAAGAGGAAAGGCAGGGTACTCACATCCCTTTCAGGCGTTGCCACATTTTCTCTGTATGACCTCCTACGGGATACTTCAGAGGAGTGCTGTCCATTCCCTCAGTTCCCTCTGTGCCTGTAGATCCCATGCTCCAAGCTGTCCCACAGCAACTGAATTCAAGTTAGGCTCAGCAGCAGGACGGAAAAGGCTCTTTCCACCCAGCACACATGCCAGAAGATCCGTACATATTAGATGGACGCTCCTCCGGTGATCTCTCTTGAAACCTAATCAGAATGGCAGAGCAGAGAAGCACTTCTACCTTAGTTGCTTATTCAGTTGGCCAGCAGAGTTACCAGCCCCACCTGCAGGAAGCCCTTCTGATCTCCTCAAAGATTAATCCAACAAGGCAGGAAATGTACCACTAACTGTGGAGGGTCTTCCCCCCCCCAACACCCCCTCCCTCCCCCCCACCCACCCACCCACACACTTCCCACAACTTGCCTTTGATACAGACTGACTGCCAGATTCTGTGCACTGGAACACGCCGTTGGCTGTTTGATTCTCTTTTTCAAAATCTACCGGAATCTTTTGGCTACCGCAAAAGAACTGCAAATGCCTAGCTGGTCCAAGAGATGGATGCCTGCACTCTGCTGTTTATGAAGCTGGATGCAATCAGGAAGCAGGTGGCAAAAGCCAATCTCAAACTTGAGCCCGCCCTCCCAAAAGGAACATCTGCCTGGTGCTGCACTTATGTCTTTTTGAGTTGACTCTGAATTGCTTCGCGGAGGACAGAAGCAGCACAAAGATGTGAATGAACAGACGGAGTGCGAGCCAGCTTTGCAGCCACGTACTCATCCCCTGCACAAAGGAAATTAGAGAGCTACAGGTTGCCACTCAAGGAGCATGCTCTAATTGCGACTATTCACCTTCTCCTAGCAACTCCGCACAGTAGGCAACTGTCAGATTAACTAGCTGAAAAACACAGCCAGTGCAACACAGCCTGGTCCCTGACTCCTTTGGGATAACAATATGCCTGGCTTCAGAAAGGAAGAGAGAAACGGAGAGAGACAGGGCATGCTGAAAATTGCCAAAGGAGATGGTAACATTAAGTAGGCAAACAAAAAGCAATCTACAGAGAGAGCTAATTGTTCTGCCAGTCCTGAAGGCAAGCGCCAATTCGGTCTTGACGTCAACCCTAGAATTTCAGCTCTGCAGCCAAAGATGAAGTTTCTGAAAGAGAGAAGTGTATATGTCTGTTCTATCGCACTTTCTTTCCTGAGATACTTAACTGGTCCTGAGAGCGTAATTGGTCTTGACTTTAAATAAATGCTACGCTAGTACCTTAAAGCATAACAAAAGAAAGCATGTTTTGCAGCACAAACAGCTTCAGAGTAGATTCTGGAAAGTTGGTTGTTTGTTTGCTTGCTGGCTGGCATGCTTTTGGAAACTTCTACCTGTACGACCTATTAGGGGATGACATTATGTTTTTATGTATCAAAATGCTTTCACAAATTAAGATGCTGTACATCATTGTGTTTATAATTTCTACACCTCATGGATAGAGAAGCATCTTTTATTATTGTTATTACCCTCTAGATTTCTCCTGTGCAAAAAAAAACAACACCAGGTTAGGCAGGCAATTGACTTTATCCAGCAATATTTTTTCTGTTATTTTTCACATCACAAGTACTTCTCTTGCAGGATCACAACAGGCCTATCAATTAAGCCCATATAATTGTCCCCTTATTATAATGGGGTGTGGGGAGAGAAAGGACTGTGAAAGCTCTGACTGAGATTCAAATTCAGGAATGATTTACACAGCAAACACTGTTGAACTTTATAATATGCACTCACTTTCCTCATACAGTAGACGTATGGCATATTAAAGCTTAAATATTTTTAAATACCAGAGTAACTCTTTAAATATAAGAGTTAACTATTATACTTAAACTAGCAGATAGCAAAGGCCCCTGGATCATTCCTGTATTTTATACTGCTAATGCTCATTTTATAGTGTAGATTTTGATTTTATGCCTTACTTCTCACCATTTCATATAAATTATGACTCAGCACTTCCTTTGCTGTCATCATTTTATGTGACCTAAAAATTTACATTAGCAATAATGTTTATGTTTTTATCCTTAAAACATTGCTAGCTTGCCTGTCATGCAATATATCCTCAGGATATATATATATATCCTCAGGATATATTGCTGAACATAACAGGATGGATGGAAGAACGGAGGGATAAATGGATGGAAGGAATGGATGGAAAATATACTGAACATAACAGGATATAACAGGATATATTGCTGAACGTAACAGGATGGATGGAAGAACAGAGGGATAAATGGATGGAAGGAATGGATGGAAAACATACTGAACACAACAGGATGGATGAATGGATGGAGAGATGGAGGGAGAGAGGGAGAGATGGATGGAGAGATGGAAAGTATACTAAACACAATAGGATGGAGGGAGGGACGGAGGGAGAAAGGAAAATGCACACATGCTCTCTTTGTTCCAAAAACCAATAAACCATGAGTAAAATAAAAGTATATTCATGAGATGTCAAATATCAAGATAAATAGAAAATGTTTCCAATGCACACTGAACTAAAACATGGAAAATCAACATGCAGGAGAACACTGTTGAATGTGTTTAGGCATCATACCTTACTTTTTCAAGTGGTAAAGTTAGAGATCTGTCATTCACTTGCAGGATCACCTGCAGCCTGCCTTGGGCACCCTCGAAATTAGGCAAAATGTATCTACCATTTTATTAAGAACCTCTCTGAGACATGCAGAAGACCCTAACATGTCATAAAAATAAAAAGCTTGAACAACAGGGTTGCCAAGGGGTGCATCCATACATTTTTTTGTGAATATAATGCCTCACTCAAATTCTTTATGCACCCTGGCACGTGTTATTTATTTAATTATTGGTATCCCACCTTTATTATTTTTACAAATAACACAAGGGGGTGAACATATTCAACGCAACTTCTCCCTCCTATTTTCCCACAACAACCTTGTGAGGTGTGTTGGGCTGAGCGACTGGCCAAAGGACACCCAGCTGGCTTTCGTGGCTGAGGCAGGATTAGAACTCACAGTCTCCCACTTTCTGGCCTGCCGCCCTAAATGGCTCTCCTTTCAATACATTTTAGTCATTGATATTAACAGACAGAACATTTATCCACTTATTCAGCAAATTGTTGATCGACTCGTGAACTTCAACTGGCTCAGGAATTCTGGGAGTTGAAGTCCACGAGTCATAAAAGAGCCAAGGTTGCCTACCTCTGGCTTAGATTAAAAAATATTGAACTTAAAGAGAAGAGTAGGCTGCATGGATTACCACTCAAATGAACGGAAAAAAGAAAATAAACCAAAGCAACACCCATCCACCCCCTAAAAATGTGGAAAAATGAAGCTAACAAATGATTTTTAACAATAAAAGAAAAACTGAGAAAAATGCAAAACTGAAACCATACTTCTTTTTTTAAAACAGCCTTGATTTATACTGGGGGGAGGAGTAAGCAAGATAAATAATAATTTTTCAATATTTAGTGCCCTTTTGTGTGTGCCTACCTATGCCCAAAACATCCAGATGGAACAAGATTATCCATATTTGTAACTGGATAGGCAATCCGATTTTAACATTGCTCTCAGCCTCATTGCTCTTGTCTTTCAAATGTAAAATCTATATGGAAATGAATTTGAAAAAAATGTGCAGATCAAATACCATTACAATAACCTGATTTTTTTAAACAGGCTGGTTGAAGAGTGATAGAGTACATAGTGATAATATCTTGGTTAAAGCTTTTTTTAAAAAAATGAGAAATTTAGACACATCAGTGTCTAGGATGACAGTGATTTTATTAATTCCCAGTTAAAGCTGAGGCAGGCTGCCAAACCGAATGGCACTAACCCAGTTAATTAAATCAACAGTAGCAATGAGTCAATGTTCTTTCCAAAGGGGAGAAAGAAAAGAAGGAACAATCATTCTAATAGGCCAAAGGGGTTGCGTGTACTGATTTTCCTCTCCTGTCTTGCTGAGACAGCACCCAGGCTTTTGGCTTTGGGTCTTGCTGCATTGCATATTGTAATACGGTTTATTTCACATGGTTGAAATCAAATGACTCTTCAACACAGCAATGTAACAGCCAATCTTGTT